GCACAGTTCTCTGGATTCGCCGGTAAATTGTGACACGAATCCTAACAGAGTGTTGGATAATTTAAAAGCAGAATCTCTTTGCCGAAAACCGAAACGTATAAAATTTAATGCTTGAAGACTGAACAAAAAGATTGTCGTTTTTATATTTTAATGATGTGTCAACTATCATCAAAGATTCATTAAAGATTAATCTCTCGTGTTGCTACCTTTTTTTTTCGTCTTTGAGTTTGTAAATCTCTAAAACATCCATCACAAATGGATTTGTATTATTTTGTATTGTTTTCTTTGGTCAAAAGATTTCCATTCTTCTTAACGAGCTCCCACAATGTTTACTAATATGTAAAGTTTATACGGTTTTAAAAGTTTTTCTCGGAATAATGGTTTTCTGTACAATATTAAAGGGACGACAAAGGAAGAAAGGAAGACGAGAGAAAAGATTTTGAAAATTGGGCGAGTGCCAACGTGGGAAAAGAAACTTCAGAACGTTTCAGGAGAAACCTAACCAGAGGAGTCTATGATCTTGGCACCCCGTAGGGCCAGACAATTCCACCTGATTGGTCCGAATTCGTATTGTCACTCTCTAGACTGATGTTTAGAGCACGCTCAGCTGGGATTTCCTGCCAAGTTGTTGCCAGTTGCTAACGACGCTATTCGTGCATCGCCGAGTTTCCTTGATATATCGATCGTCGTTGCCCGGACAGCGATACACGCTGAGATTATTTCGAAATTTTTAAATGCACTTAGCAGTTTATTGTGGCGTGTCAAGGACTCTTGGAAACACCTCTCTCATTGGAAGTACATATATGTTAATTAATTCATCAAAATTTGACCTTTTCAATCTCTCGCTCTCGGTTCTTATTAAAAATCTTGTTTAGACGTATTGTCAGATATTTTCACCTTATCAATAGTAATATAAATGTATATCTTTAATTCTGCGCAACATTGCGAATGGTTTGCAACTTTCATATCGCTTTCCACTTCATTCCCCGCGACGACGTTTCAAGGTTGCACGGATTGCGGCACGGATTATTCTCAGGCGATCATCGCTCTTCTCTTCTACCCGAGGCTCTCTCGCGGCGTTTTGTAATTACGCGCCGTCCGTCTTATCCGAAATCGTTCCGTACGCACGCTTATCCAATTATCATCTGCTTTCCGCGTGCTGGCGTAAACACATATGTACGTTTCGTTATAATGTAGAAGGACTGATCGCGTTCTTGAGCTTGCCTGCTGGAAGGTGGCCTCCGACATCTTACGTTCGTAGATAATTACTCGAGAAAGCCACTAAGTATTTCGTAATTAGAGGCCTACTGGCTTATCGGAAATCACATTCTCGATTATCATCTCTGTCTCTCAAAAACGCTTTTTTTATTCCTTCAATTTCATTCCGACATAAATTGTGGTCCGCTTCTTGGGAGGCATGTCCCATACAGCACAGACCATTGTTGCTACATTGCCGCAATATTGCTGCAATGATCTGTGCTGCATGGGGTCATTCCAGTCTATTCTATTCTAAGTTGTCATTGGAGAAGCATTCGTTACTTCTCAACGACAGGATTCGTGAAAGATTGAAATTTCCTACACGGATAACGAAATATATAAAATATAAAGTAATGATACTCCGCGAATGTTTCTGGACGCAGAACTATCATCGAGATCGCAATCGCAGAGCAAATGACGAAGTCGAACCGAGTTAGCGCACGATTTATCCAACACATAGCTTTCTCCTCGTTCAACGAACAAGATAGCAACGTAATAGCACCACGTGTCATATGTCACACATTGTTGCATAGGAGGAGGAATCGTGGGCGTTAATGGCCGAGCCGCGGAGCTTATCCGGAGTACATCTAATATCCAAGCGAGCTGGACAAACACATATGGCATACCCGACATTGATCAACACGGTAACACTTCAAGGTTGCGCTTTATAGTAACAGCTACATTTCCACCGACAAACAGCCCGAGGCCTGGCGACCCGAGGAGGAGCAAGAAAATACACATCCTGAAAGAACTCGTATAATACGAGCGATCTGAGAGTCGCTTAAAGCTCGAGAGCCTCGGGCTTTCAATTCTGTAATTCTTGTTGCTTGATTAACAATTTAAATGAATACAAACTTGGGGAAAAAACGAATAGCGGACTTTGTCGACAAAATTTCTTCTAGAATATGTATTTTGAGAAGCACTGATTTAAAATGTAATGTAACAAGGATACGTAGACATCCGATTACAAACGCTCATATCGGAAACGCGCTTTATAATTGCACACCGCGCTTATCCGTAATCACATTCACAGTTACAATCGTGCAGCTTATCGGATTATCATCTACTTTCTGCACCATATAAAATATGCTAGCGCCGCGCTTACGTCGCTTTACAAACACGTTCCGCGCGGCAGAATGTGTGTGTGCGCTGGCCGAATAAAATAAAATCAACGGAGCGAGTGATTAATATACCTTTGATTGTAAATAAGGTGCACGGCTTAAGTGAATTACCGACCTACGATGCGACGCTTTGCGAAAAATTAAATTAAAACAGAAGAATTATAATTGGCGCAAAATTTTATCGGTAATCCTAATCAATAAAATTGTATGTAATAATAACTGCCGTGAGATTGGAAAAATAAAATTTGACAAAATATTAGAAAAATCTAATATTAAAAGTTATAATGAAAAAATATCTAAAAAAATTTATTCATTCCAAAGGCAAATATTTTTATTAATTTAATATATTTAAAGCTTTCAAACTTTAATTAATAAACGATTCTTTCTACAAATTAAAAATTATTAAATTAAAAATATATTTTCTAATTGAAAATGTGTATTCTCAATTAATATTTAATCTCAATTTTTCGAGAATTTTTCGAAAAATTTGATCGGTAATCTCAATCAATAGAATTGTATGTAATATTATATTAACTGCCAAGAGATTGGAAAAATAAAATTTGGCAAAATATTAGAAAAATCTAATATTAAAAGTTATAATGAAAAAATATCTAAAAAAACTTATTCTTTACAAAAGCGAATCTTACTTTTAATTTAATATATTTAAAGTTCTCAAAGTTTAATAAACAATTCTCTCTACAAAGTTATTAGATTAAAAACATATTTCGTATTTGAAAATGTATATTCTCAATTAATCTCAATTTTCCGATTATATGTATATCGGTTTCGATGAGAAAAATTTTCTGCTTTTTCTTACTATGCTATCCAACTAATAATATCAAAACACACGGCTGAATCGCAAGCACTTCACGGCCGACGAAAGATACATTCCGACTGTACTCGGTGTACGCGGTATTTTGCAATTAGCCTGGAAGCTTATCTCGATCGCAGCATCTCGGAGAGTTCCCAGAGAGATGAAGTCCCGCCTTTCGCGGATCCCGCGATCGCGATCGCGAACTTCAAGCGATAATGGGGCGCATCGATCATCGAGGTAACGCTTCAAGGTTGTATACACGTACAAGGTTGTATACGCATTTAGGATAGCCGGTGGTTGGTTCTCGAGTAGCCCTATGCGCGCACGAATATATCTCATAATTCCGACGTGGTCACGCATCTCGACTCGCAGCTGCGGGGCCGGGCCAAACTTTATTAGCATACCTATAAAAATGCGCGCGTTTGCGCGTAAATGCGCGCGATAAATTACGTCTAAAAGTCTCTTATATCTCGTAAAACGTCAGTCAATGAAATCCATTAGTTCGAGCATCGCTACCGATAACGTTCGCATCAGGGGGCTTTTCCTGCCATTTGCTTGCGAATTAAAGACACTCGTCTCGGTGTCGCGCTCTCTTTATATACGACCGATTAACGCGCGCATAAACATGAACGCTCGCGCAATCATGTTACAATATCGTAAAGATAATTACCGAGCACCTCGGTTGGCGATGTTGAAAGAGGGAAGCGAAATGTCATGTCTGCCGTTAAAAGAGCAGTCCCTCCAAGACCGATCGCGTTAGTTAATGTTAGGAGAAAATTCCCTCAAATGCATATTTATTTATATTGCTGAGAGAACTGCATGGATAAAATCTATCTATATATCTTTAAAAAAGTAGGAATTCTCATAGAGAATGAATAAATTAAAACATGCACAGTAAAAAATTGTGCGTTCATATGTTAAAATTTTCTTGCGTTTTGATTAGTATTTTCATGTAAAATTAACATACAACTTATATATTATTATTTTTATAACGTTTTCATGTGTTACATTTATATCAACTTTATAACTTAACACTTTGTATATGTCTCTTAGAAATGGAATATTATTTTGAGTATTTTTAACATAATCATTTTAAACGATCAACATGTCTCAAAGTCAGTTTAACATTCTAAGAAAAGTTAAAGTGAATCTTCAAATAATCTTGAATTTTGGCATACAATAATCAAATTTGCTAAAATCAAATGTTTTTATTACAAATAATTTAAGTTAAAATAATTACTATTATATGTTAATGTCCTACAACAATTCTTCGAGTTATTGTAACTATTTTTCCATGTAATTTTTCATTAAATTGTATGTTATTTTTACATTACTTCACAATAGCAAAAATAAATGTAAAGTATTGTATTAATTATTTAACATTTTTAATTTGTCAATAAATAACATACGACGACAAGTTATTTTAAATTAAAATTTAGAGTGGACTTTCTGGGACATGTAAAAAATGTTATAATTAACATTCTATTTTTTACTGTGTGATTGTACGCGTCTTTCCGGATTCCTGTGGAACAGGATTTAATAATATATATACTGCGGATTTAAAAATTTTTATAGAACATCAAATATTTCAATTATAGATCCTATTCGCGAAAAGATCGAAAAGTTTTTTTGATGAAAATTTCCCCGAAAGACTTTTGCATATCGTAAAGGATTCTTGACGCGTCTTCCCCGACAAATATCCCATCGAATTTGCTCTGCGTGACTTAACGCATTCTTCGCAGTGTTCCGCGCAGCGAAACCTTTCCCCGATATCCTCGCGTCTCTGCTGATCGACACGCGTCACTTACCGGCCGGTCTTCGTGATGATCATCTCCGTGCCGAGGTCGTTGAACTTGTCCCAGAGCTCCTTGGTCTCGAGTCGGCACTCGATGTCACGTAGCTCGTCCGAGTTGCAGCTGGTCCTTAGACGCTGCTGCTTCTTCTCGTCCGTGTTGCATCCATCCACGCCGCACTTCCGCGAAGACGTCTTCCCGATGCCGACGACGTCGTCGGCCAGCACCCCGTGGACCGGACCATCGTCGACGCTGCTGCACTCTTCCACGTCGACGTCCACCTCCTCGTCCTCCTCGTTCCCGGACTTGGCGGACTCGCTCTCGCAATTCTCGGTCTCTTCGTCGCCGAGAAGAGCCTCCTCCGTCACAACCGTCGCTGTCGCGACAATGTTCACCGGCGACGCTCGAACACCTGAGAAAACCAATTTCTCATTTACCATATCCGATACATTTCCAAGCTGACGCGTTTCGAAGCGGATAGCAAAAAATATGCAACCGTGTCACGATAAATTTATTATTAACATTAATTTCAGAAAATTACTTAATCCATATCGAAATATAATTATCATAAGTAGTTTCACGTTCCACCGTAATTATTAATAATGATCCCCCTGTCTTCTCGGCTGAGACTTTTGCATCGCGGGCGATTTCAGCAAGATTATAGCGGCCCGTCGATCGGGCCGCTTATTGAGCCGAGATTTATCGCGAAACAACCGACCGACCGGCCACGGTAAAAGACGCGGAAACGAAATCCCCGGCGCAAGCGCGATTATCGCGGACCGCGTCGATTTAAATGAGCGAGATGAGCCCGAACGATACCGGGGGCCGCCGCCTGTTAATTAATCGACCGGGCTCCGCATCTGCCACAAGGTGGTGGCCCGGCGCCTAATTAAACCGTCAGATTTTCAAGAAAGCCGATCCGCGCTGCCGTGCCGGTGTGTACACAATGTTAATTGCGCCGGGTTCGCGATATCGATCTGTTAATTTGTACTATTCCGCGCGAACAATGCGTCTTCCGGTGCGAGTTTATCTCAAATTGGATCCGTGGAGCGAGCTCGCGCACGTGCGTAGGGTATATAACGCGCGGGAAAATTTATCGACGCGTTGTCATCGACGGAGAAACGTCAAAACGCCGCGTGTTTTTCTCCTCTCGGACAACCCGACCGTCTGCACGAAAAACATTCTGTGCTATCCGGGATTATTCCTTTCTCATTTCCATTTAACGCTACGTCTACCATAACAGACACGGCTATCTGATAGGGGAATTTATTCGCTCGATGTAAAAATTACGCATCGGCAAAAGGTTGAGAGAGTCGGACAGTTGTATTTAGTTTACGCTAAACGTGCGTCAAGAGTCCGCTGGCCCGAGTATTGTTCACCTAGCGTTAAGAAGGCATTCGGTGTAACATGAATGCAAAATAAATGAGACGCCATAAATATTTCCAAAAAATAAACAGCAATTATTTCCCTTATATTCGCACATGTATCCATTATTTCTATCATTCATACACACGTCTAGATCTTCCGGCAAAGCAGGCGAGTCCTTTTCATTTTCGTGATAAGCAACGTCGCGCGCTAACGACTTGATAAGTAACCGGGCACGCTTCTTTACGCTTCGCTGAAACGGGATGCGAGTTTCTGCCCGGGTGATCGAACATCTTCTTGACCGGAGGAAGGCGCGAGACGCGACTCGCCGAGCCAGAAAACTGGCGATCATCAGTCGCCACGACTATCCTTCACGTCCGTCGATCGAAGAGACTACATAATTCGATTCGTGTGCTTCCTGTTTTCTTTTTGGCTTCTGATTGCTACATTGACTCGGTTGTTTCTCCCCTCGTCGCGCTCCTCGGACGCTACCAACTCGGGTGCTGAAACCGGTTTCGTTAAATTTTCTATGACGACAACGGCAACGATAAGCATAACGCGATTACTTTCACCGTTTCGTATATGTTGCGTTGCACGCGTTTAGCAATTTGCATTTTGTTTCGGTAAAACCAGAGGCTTTTTACGAAGTTTTACGAGCGACTACCGGATTTCTTAATTGCCGCGAAACGATATTCTTCTTCGCTACTTGAAATTTGCGGCAATCTTATTATCGATAAAAAATTCTATATCGATCTTAAGCAATATTAGACTCTCAGATTCTTAATTTTTAGAAAGACTTGTCAAAGACAAAGCGAATATGTTGCATCTTTAAACTGAAATAAATGTATTACTAAAGAAATTTTTTCAATGCATTAAGATATCGAGGCGTTTAATAAAAACATAACAATTGCTTGCATTTTACGAAGGCAATGAAAAGTATTTGGAAATGAAAAAACAAAGAAAAGCAATTAATAATTAAATAAATCTTATATTTCTCATAAAGCTTCTGTATCAATCTTAATTAAAAAATATGAGTCTTAGATTTATTAATATTTAAGATGACTCGTCAAAATCAAATGAGCGAATATGTTGCATCTTTAAACTGAAATAAATGTAATACGAAATATATTTCAATGTTATACGCAGTAAAAAATAAAATGTTAATTATAACATTTTTCACATGTCCCAGAAAGTCTCAGAAAGTCCATTCTAAATTTTAAGTTAAAATAACTCATTCGTCGTATGTTACTTATTAACAAATTAAAAGTGTTAAATAATTGACACAATATTTTACAATTATTTTTGTTATTGTGTCTTTAAATGTAATGTAAAAATAACATACAAATTAATTAAAATTACACAAAAAAATAGTTACAATGACTCATAAAAATTATCGTAGGACATTAACTTATAATAGTAATTTTAACTTAAATGATTTGTAATTGAAGAACTTGATTTTAGTAAATTTGATTATTTTGTATGTCAAAGTTCAAGATTATTTGAAGATTCACTTTAACTTTTCATAAGAATGATAAACTGACTTTGAGACATGTCGATTGTTTAAAATGATTATGTTCAAAATACTCAAAGTAATATTCCATTTCTAAGAGACATATATAAAGTATTAAGTTATGAAGTTGACATAAATGTAATAATATGAAAACGTTATAAAAATAATAACATACATATAAGTCGTATGTTAATTTTACACTAAAGTACTAATCAAAACGTGGTAACACAAGAAAATCTCAACATATGAACGCACAATTTTTTACTGTATATATTCAAGGTATCGAGGAATTTAATAAAAACATAACAATTGGTCGCATTTTACGAAGGAAATGGAAGGTATTTGGAAATAAAAAAAACAGAAAAAATTAACGATTAAACAAATCGAGTATCGGTTCGCGATCGCGATACGGACAATCGGCGCAAATTTCGACGTGAATTTCATTTCGCGCAAGCAACACGAACCGCTGGTACCGCCGAAAGGTGCGCCGGTAGTCGCGCGCATCGCGTGCTGCTCGCGCGTTGCGTGCGCGCACATCTGCGTGCACGCATCCACGCACACACGCGGCCTGCTAATAATAATACAGCGCGGAGGCCACGTCCCGTCCGTAGTTTCGCGTTGCGGCACGCGTGTCACGTCGCTCTCGCGAGTTACGTGTAAAGAGGCGCGCGGGCGATCCTTTTATTTTGTTTTCTCCCTCTCGCGGAGTTCGCGAAATCGTTGCAATTGCCTTATTGAGCCATCGCGCCACTCGGGAACCGGGCAAAAAAGTTGCGCGCGCGAGAACAGCCGGTGGACGTGAGCTCGATGGACGAAAAGGAGAAAAAAAAACAGACCGGTGTTGTGTTAAAATTAACACCTCGACGCGCGCGTTTCTCGCGTGAGCCGCGGATGCATCATCATCGTCGTCGTCGTCCTCGTCGGTCTTGCGCGACGTCACGCACGTCGCGAAATTACCCGGGCGTGCATCGTGCCCTGGCATCGCTCGTTAATTTGCGAACAATCGACTTCCCGGCTGAAAATCTATCTCTTACATCGACAACGCGTTCTGCTCCGTTCCAAAGTGTGACTCTGGTACGGCTTACGAAGTATTACAGTGGGACACGGACGAGAGCGCAGTTTGTGATAATTGATCGAAACAGAGAATGCGATTTATAAAATATTTTTTTTTTTATATTTTTTAAAAAAATATTTTTTCTCAAAAATATTGTTAAATTGTTTGAATACACGCTCGATGTTCTCTCTTTTGAAGAAAAAAAAAAAGATCTTTTTCTCTCCCTTGCCACTGCCATTTTTCCAGCGTTAACAAGAATAAAGGGCAACCGACTTCGGACGCAATTTCGGAATCATATGAGCCATGGAACGTGTCGGACGAAAAATGGGTCCAAATGGTGACTTAAAGAGCCTAGACCTCGCATACAGGCACACGTGCCTATAAAGGGACACCCAGTGTAGGAAGAATGCTTCACCGGAAGCTTTCCGGGCGACACGTAGAAAGAGGAAGAAAGAGACAGAGGGAGAGTGCGGCCCGGAGTGTGTATCTCGCGCGCGCGAGAAGGTGGTCCCGTGTTCCACGTGATCTTTTAAGGCCAGAAGAAATATGACCGAGAGCTACTGACGTCAGCTTCCTTTTGCCGCGACCGACGGCCGACCACCCAGAATCCTGTCACCACCCGAGCCTCGCTTTCGAAGGACGTCGCTCGAGAGGATCGACACAGGCGCGATTCGAATAACGATCGCGTTACCGGAATCGTCGTTTTATCCCGGCGAAAAAAAAGGAGAGAAAGAAACGTGCACCTACGGTCGCAGGTATGGAGCCGAGCTCCAATTTCAATTCCGCGCAGGAGGGATCCCGGGAAATCGTTTCATTCAGGATCGAATGCCTCCTGCGAATCACAGGTGGATTTCACATCGCAATTTTGATACCTTTCAAATATATAAAGAATTGTAATATTTTTAAATTACACTCATGTGGAGTAATGACCTAATTGTCGTAATTATCTCTAGATTATCGCTATTTGAAGGAAAAACAATTTTCAACGTAACGTTATGTGCGATATTATGATTATGCTGCGGGAAACTAGGATAATTGCAGTTTAATGGAAAGAGCGAGAGAGAAAAGCGATAAATCGCGGTGAGAACGTATCATTTTGCACTCACGTTTTAATGCCGATGTGATCTGGTGGCAAACTTTGATGGCTATTAATTAGGGTACTTCGAAAGAAATAATCGACACGCGTCGACGGAAACGCGGTGCAAAAAATCAACATCAGCCTGTTTCTCAACACGACGCCATTACAATTATTGCTTAGCGGATTAAAGGCAATTGAAGAATAAATCGCGCATTTCATTTAAATCGCGTAACACATCGTTGCTCGATCACACAAACAGAATTCCGTCTCGCGGCTAATTACTTTGCCGCGTAGAGATAGAGCTTAGACCAAGTATGTGACACTCCTCTGTCAAGATTAGATTAGTCTTAAGAGATTTCGCATGACGATTAAATTATGCGCGAGTTATTTCTGGGACTGAGTTAT